TTTTTTTTTTAGTATAGGGATGCATGCTTGCAGATTTATTAACCAACTCTAACAAAGTACTTCCATACTGTAAGGTTGAAAATAGATTTATTTCAAGATTTAGTGCTTTTTTTTTTTTACGTCGGAGACTGATAAACCTTTTAGCCTTTTTCATGTAGGCTAAGTGTGAAACATGCAACACATTTAAGGCGCGGGGGTAACGCTGGGAGTGATGGTTCTATTGCCGGGGCTGGAGGTCCGAGGGTATTCTGTGCAGGGCCAGTTAGGTGGGATGCTCTGCGGGAGAAGTGACGGCGGCGTGAACTAATTAATGAGCAGAGGCAGGCAGAGAAAGCTGACCTGTCCTCAAGCAGGCCAGCCAGACACATTGAACATATACACACACACTGCACCCAAACAAAGTGGACAATGTCCTGGTGACCTTTTCAACTGTGCGTGTCCCCAGAGTGACCGGCGAACGGACCTCCATTTGAGTTTTGCTGATGCAGCACATCGTCAAAAATAAAGCCAACACTTTCTGTCTTCATCTCATGTGACGCTTCAGCATGGCTGAACAGAATCACATAGATAATCAGCATGCATTCAGTTCCCAATTCCACTTTTCATTTTCTTTGACATAAGACTTTTTCATTGAATTATATAATAACAGTAGGATTATGGAAATTTCTATTGCAATAGTCACATACCTAGATGAGAACAAATAAGGAGTTAAAAAGTGTTTCACCTATTGCATTAACATGTTTTAACATGCAAAAATGTATTTGTTATGGTTCAGTTTTTATAAGTGTTTTTAAAAATATTGTCATGTTTACTACAAAACATATTATAATAGCAATATCATATAATAAACATCACAGCTAAATAAAAGATGTTTCACCGTCTGTGAGAAGAATGTCAAAATTAATAGCCACAGATAGCTGCTGTGCCTCCCCCCCTTTAGGATGAGAACTGGAATTTATTGCTGTTTAAATTCGACAAGCCTTTTTAATCTTACTCATGCCATCTTTGACTTTGAAAGTGAACCATCTTAAGAGGTCCTCAAAAACAATAAGACAGCGAAAGACATCTGCCCGGTGTAGAACAGAAGCAAAACAATGTGAGTCAAACTAAGACATGCAAAGTACATCACCAGTTGGATGTTGGAAACAGGGTTTAGCATTGGCTTGTTATAAATTTCTCCCATACCAAATTAAAAAAGAGTTTGTAGGAGTAAGCGTGTATCACAAAATGTTCATTAAGATTCAAAATTACAGTTGGAGTTAAAACAATTCTAAAATGGAATAGTGTCAACATATAAGAATGTTACAGATGTGGAGTTTGTCTTCAGAGAAAAGTTGTCCCACAACTGGCAATGTGCCTAAGATATGGTGATATGTTGCTCTATGAAGATTCAGTAGAAGTGTTGGAAGACCTTCACAATTTGAGAAAGATTAAGAAATTAAAAGTGAGAATAACGTGTAATGGTGAAATTGTGCTAAATCTGTTTTCAGCCTTTTTTTAACTGCCTGACCTGAAACTTCTCAACTTTGAATTCCTTCACTCTGTTGTCCAGAAAATATATAGATCAACTAAAAATAATTGATTTATTATTATTATTATTATTATTATTATTATTATTATTATTATTATTATTAAGCTTAGACAATAGTAATCATTCATCCATATTTACATTTTAACATTGTCTCAAAGCAGCTGGGTGGGTGTCTGGAGTGCAGCCTATGACTGTCTATAATACAGGATAAATTTTTGATTTCCATTCAAGCGAAAAAAAAGTAGAATTTCTGATCTTCTCTACTCTAACCAGTGTGTCAGAGTTGCAAGAACGCATGAACACTGTGCATGCTGAGGCCAACTCACAGGCACTGTGGCCTGTAATACATCCTAACACAGGAATCAACAAATCATAAATCAGTAGATTTCTACCCGATGTGGTGAGCAGAGATCAGGTTTAACATTCCACGGCTGCAGCTGAGGAGAAAGCAGAGTAAAGCTTAGAAAGTAGGGCACCATATAAATGGTACTGGAAAGAAGGATGGAAAAAAAGATGACTAAAAAATCTTTTAAAAAGTTATGTGAATTACTATAGTGAATATGTTTTCCTGTACAAGTCATGGAAGAGATTGGTTTATTGCTCATGCACGACCTGATTCTCTGTGCAGCTGACCTATAGATGAGGAGAATATTGCAATAATTCATAATAAAGGAACAAGAACGTCCTGCATAAGTCACCTGCTGACTTACATGTTTATGTTACTTCAATAGTTTTCTAAATATTCCTTCTTCTTCTTCTTCTTCTTCTTCTTCTTCTTCTTCTTCTTCTTCTTCTTCTTCTTCTTCTTATTATTATTATTATTATTATTATTATTATTATTATTATTATTATATGCACGTCATAGTAAAGCCACAGTTCTAGTCGTATGACCTAAAAAACTGGTATTTCGATTAAGTATGCTGTTCGTGATTATTGTGATTATTCCGGTTGTTGTTGTTGTTGTTATTATTATTATTATTATTATTATTATTATTATTATTATTAGTAATAATAATAATAATAATAATAATAATAATAATAATAATAATAATAATAATAATAATAATAATAATAATAATAATAATAATACAGAGGGAAATAGACTGCAGCGTGTGGTCTTTGGTCCGTGTGTATATAACTTATTATTGAGTATTTTTGTTTCGTCTCGCCTCTAATTTGCTCCCTTTATAAAGATCAGATAAGACTGGTGGAACTCGTTCGATGGTTTGTCAGTATGGTAAGATGAGGGCACCTGTAGAAGGAATTTGTAATTTTATGATGGCCCAATATGACCCGTTTGAATGTACCTTTAGTTTTTCACTCTGCTCTTCTCCCAGTCCTCCCAATAAATGCAATAAATTATATTTGCAGTAGGTGGCGCTCTTAATTCACCCCAGCACCTCTTTTATCCGAAAAAAAGGATGCGCGAAGAGGGAGAAAAGGAGCGACAGCTTTCCCCCGCCCAAGCCTTTATCATTAGAAACTTCAGAGCATGAATTACCTCTGCAAAGTCATCTGCGAGAATTTACGAGTGGTCTGCAAAATCACGTGACCACACCCCCTCCTTCTCTGTTTCTTTCTCTGACTCCTCCCTCACCTCACCCCTCACCTCCCCCATGACACACACACACACACACACACACACACACACACACACACACACACACACACACACATTTAGATCCAAGAAGCACACACAATCGCCACCCCACCCCCATATTTGGACGGCGCATAGCTAAAAACGAAGTACAGTGTAACGCCATAATTCACTAATACATCATAAATCGTTGAAAGTACCCGCGTTATAACGACCTAGAGAAATCTAACAAATCAAGCCCCCCTCTTTCTGACTTCTCAGTTGTTAGCCTCTACTCTGTAAAACAACTAAATGAGTTCTTACTTTGTAAACTCGTTCTCAGGGCGCTACCCGAATGGCCCCGACTATCAGCTGCTAAATTATGGAGCCAGCAACAGCGCAATGAACAGCGGGACGTACAGGGACTCCTCCTCTGCCACAATGCACCATGCGACTGGCTCTTATGGCTACAGCTACAATGGCATGGATCTGACCGTAACCAGCCGAGGAGGGGGGGGCAGCAGAGCCGCAAACACCGGAGAACACTTCGGTGGAGGCTCAGCGGTCGATGACTCCAGGGGCTTCGGCTTCAGACAGCCGGTCAGTTGTTCGCTTGCTTCCCCAGGAAATTCTCTCTTGGCAGGCGGTCGCGAGAACAGCAAACTGGGCACACAGAGATCGTCTCCCCCCTCAGAGCAACCAGGAAGAAGCAACCTCAGCTCTCCAAACCTGTCTTCATCCACGATGGCCGGCGGCGCGGCTCGGCGCTTCACAGAGATTGAAGACGCTTCACCAGACAGCGAGGACCTGCTCCTTCCTCGGGAAGCCAGTCATGGGAATAATCCACGGCCCCAAACCGGGCACTCGCAATCTATTCAAAAACAGGAAGGCAGCCCGGCCGGATCAGCTGCTGGCAGTATGGGCAGTGACGCGCAGTCACCCCAGATTTTCCCTTGGATGAGAAAACTGCACATTAGCCATGGTACATTCTGACTCTTGGCTTTACAGTTTATACTTATTTGTATATTAGTAGTTGACACTGAAACATTTGTTGAGAGCATGTAAAAGACGTGAAGTTAGATTCCAGCTTGTGGCACTTATTTAAGGAGTCACTGTTTCTTTCCATCGACGCAAAATATTTAGCAAGAGAAAGCTTTCATATAATTGGAGTACAATGACAATTATAAAATATTTTACAAGCAGCAACACATTTAGACAACACATTTTGTCTGCGCCCTGTAGGTATCTTGGGCCTACGCTGCGCGGAGAAAAAAAAAAAGTTATAAAATTACAAAACCGGCCACGGTTATTGGTGTCTTCATTTTGCAAGATTTCATTTTCCCGCTAACTGAATTCTAATTGAAAATTGCAGTCCAACTAACGAGGACGGGTTGCTTTATCAAACACAAAATATTTGCATGTTGACCCAACTCCATTTTACCATTGCACCTTGGAAGCTTTACTCGGACTATTGTCCCTTCTGTCTTTTCGCCTTTTTTAAGTCTAACAAAAACGTCATAAATCTGTCAAATGTAAGTCGAGTGGGACTGCAAAGTTCAACATGCCGGGGAGCACACACAGTACCCGTTGAGGAAAAAAGCAGCAGGGAAACAAACAATGAGAATATGCCGCGGCTGCCCTTTTAAAAAGTCGGCCTTTATTAGTGTGGAAACTTTATTAAAGAAGTGATGCAAAGGCAATAAAACCCTTAAGGGATCTGAGGGGAGTTAAAGGGAGGGACGTGTAAGGTGAGGGTAATGTTTAAAAAAGTAGGCAGATTTAAGGAAAAATTTAAGTGTGGAATAAATGTAATTTAAATTTAATAAATAGAATTCATATGAAGGGAAGATCATTTTCCGGCTCTTATTTAGTGCGCTTTTTTAAATAACACTTTTGCCTGCACTTTTGTCTTTGCCTGCTGTGCTCTTACTGTTTAGTCCGCCTATGCACAATGATGCACTGATGACCTGTAGCTACAATGGCAGATGCAGTTAAACAGACTTTTATGATTTAGGGCCACATCTTGACTTTACAAAGCTGCTGTGTAAAACCAGAGTGAACCTGAAAAATTTGGCATCCAATAGGCTCTAAATGTTGTCTATTGCCCCTGACATGTTGTCTGACGATGCTCGTTTTGTGTTTCTTTTTTCTTTTTGTCACATGTGGGGCCCTCTGTCCTAACAGCGTTGTGTTCCTTCCAAACCCCTCAGATATGACGGGCCCGGACGGGAAACGGGCGCGGACAGCGTACACCCGCTATCAGACTCTGGAATTGGAGAAGGAATTCCACTTCAACCGGTACCTAACGCGGCGGCGGCGCATCGAGATTGCTCACGCACTCTGTCTCACGGAACGACAGATCAAGATCTGGTTTCAGAACCGGAGGATGAAGTGGAAGAAGGATAACAAGCTGAAAAGCATGACATTGACCACGGCTGGCAGCGCCTTCCAACCATAGGAGTAAAATCCCTTTCAAAGAACCTGGTCATTCAGCTCGATGACTTGTTATCTAAGACTGGAGGGAGGCAAACAGGGCAAAAAGCGCAAAGAAGTAATAAAACCCGAAAAGAACAACATAGAAATTAAAGAAGAAGGCCTACGGGACTGGAGTAAAAAAAGGGCAATGAAGAAAATAGTCCAGGATAAACCGAGACGTTAACTTTTGATTTATAAAACAATGTATGTTCTCAGATTAGAAGCTGTACAGTACAGCAGCGCAGCACTTTTCATTCGAATGCTATAGCGGTGTTTCAGGGCCACAGGGGAATACTGACTGGTACTCTTATGAACTGGCAGCCAACACACAACTTATATATATATATATAAATATAATTGTGTGTGTGTGTGTGTGTGTGTGTGGGGGTGTGTGTGTGTGTGTGTGTGTGTGTGAGTGTCGTTATACAAAATACCAATTGATCGACTTTGGGTCTTCTTTCCCAGCCGTACTTTCTGGCCATGGTGTGTCTGATGTGTGTCTGATATTATTTCATTTATCCTGTGGATTATGTTGGTAATGTGCTTTCTATTGCAACTTCAACTCTTGAACAGGTCCTCTAAGTTATTTCCTCCCACTGAAACTCAACCACTACTTGTTTAAATCTGCATCCCCCTCCCGTCCACTCACCTTGCCACAGTGTTGTTACTACATCACTGACATCTGCACTCATATTTACTGTGGAAGTAGAAATGTTTGCGCGAGCGTGTTTGTGATTGAGAGTATGTGCATATGTGTATTTGTTTAACAAAATGGCATTCACGTCTCCATCCGTTCTTATTGCTGTATATATAATTGAAATAAGTACAACTGTGCCATACTGTTATTGTAATTTGTTGATTTGTTGGAAATGTCATATTTGATGTACACAGATATAGCGACATTTTGACTGTTTTACTGTTTGCGGTTACTTTATGTGAGTGCGTGGATGTGTGAAATCTGTGTGGTATTGTGTCCCTGTAAACGTGAGGTTTTTGTAGTTATTTGTAACATTGAGTAAAACAATTATGAATAAAGTTTCTCACTGCAATCCAGATCGACAGCATAAGGCCTTGGTTCACAATGAAGAAAGGGAAATGTTATGCAAGTATACTGTGGTTCCAAGCTCTCTCCGAAACTTTTTCACACCTACGTTATTTTTACACCAAAACGTCATGGTATTTTACATAATCGATGTCTGATATTTTGCGTTCTGCTAAAATATTATATCTTTACGTCAAATTCTCCTAACAGTCTTCTCTATTTTGCAGGCCTGTCTTGAACCCTGTGCCTAGAAAGTCCATGGAAGCATCCTCATGGCTAAAGGCGGTATTCTTGCACAAAGCTTCCCGGTTGCAGAAAATACACAGCAAAACACACAACCAGCTGGTAAAAAACGGGACAGTTTTCTTCTCTGTTGTCCTAAGCGGATACAATAACAAATGATCGGCGGTGGACAAATGCGTCACGTTTCAGCCTTTTCCGGCTTCAACGGATGCTGCTCCCAGAGAAATTAAGTTACCTTCTCCTGATTTCCACTTGTAAACAACCGAATGAACTTTTAAACTCACCGACCGCGGGTGCAGTTCCCCTCCTTTTCTTTCTAACCTACTAGGTAGTCAAATGGATCCTTCTCCGAGGCTCATCAGGACACATACTTCTGGCTCTTTTTCGTGTCTGTATGCGTTGGTGTATGAAGACATGCATGGATTTTTAAACTAACCCTTCCTGGTTTGGGCCACACTATAAAATGGAGGAAGGATTGACATTTACGTGTCAAACAGATGAGGGTTTTTATCTCCAAGTTAGATCGTAAAAGTCTGTTCTGATTCCTCTCACTGGCTCTCCTCTGGTCACGTGGGGTCCATAAAGTTAGTTTTATGGTTTAGGGGAGTTGACAATGTACCATGTATTTCACATTCTAGAAAGCAAGTGACGGTTTAACGGCTTTGTGTGGATCCTAAAGAGGTCACTAAAGTAGAGACAGAGGCAAAGAAGCAGTGTGTGTGTGTGTGTGTGTGTGTGTGTGTGTGTGTGTGTGTGTGTGTGTGTGTGTGTGTGTGTGTGTGAGTCTGTGACAGTGAAAAAAAGAGAGAAAGAAAGGGGGATAGAGAGAGAACAGGCCTCTATTAGCCGCAGCTGTTCTTGCTCTGGTTCACACTTGGAGCCCGGAGATCTCTGCTGTGGTCTGCTGTGGACTCTGGGAAAAGCTTGGGGAAGGAGAGTCAGGACGCACAGTGAACGCCTCCCGGTAAGTAGGAGCTAAGTAGAGAGAGGGGTGTGTTTGGTAAAGTGGGAGATGGGGCTGTGTAATTAACGTGTCAGTCACTGTGAGCAGTAGTCCTGTTTGGCGCGGCCACCAGCTCCGGTGGATTTCAGGTACATTTCAGGCCTCTGATGAGGCTGGTGGTGCGAAGATTCTGAGGTTACAGATAGAGAAAAACTGAAATTGTCTGAGCACTGTTATCCGAAGTCACAGACTCATGTGTCGCTTTAACTTGTAACTATAGCCCTGGCCTGTAAATGCAACCACCTGTTTGAGGTTTTGGACATGTATTTTTTTTTTTCTTTCTTCAATTTGTAATGAAATATTCGGAGATCTAGTTCAAAGTATTCGTTTAAAGGAAATAAAGTTAAACAGAACAAACGCGTAAGAAGATGATCACATTTTTGGTGGCAGAAAACAAATATTCTGATCCCTATCTTCTTCTTGGCCAACCTGATCAACAGTTTTTTTATGCACAATCATCTTGTGCGGTAAACTGTTTCAGATAAGAATGGAGAATTGCAAAAGCATTCACATCTCTGTATTCATAAAGGTCACACTATGTAGTGACATGCGTCAAAGGGTAGAAGCGAACCTCTGTCTGACATCACTTTGGTGTTTTCCAGGCAGTCTGGGTGGAAAATAATAATAATAAAAAGAGAACTGGACGCAAACATTTCAAAGTTCTCCATCTGAAACCTGCGTTTCTTTCATTCTGAACGGATAAACACATTCTAAACCACAGTAACACACAACTAAACACACATCCGCAAATACAACTCTAAACCTGACATTATTTTTTGTCTTTATTACAAAAACAAAAAGTAAAAAATAAAAATTAATGATGTTAAATTCTTCTTCATTTGTACAGCCGGGATTTCAGCCGCATTTAATGTCAAACTTAAAGGAATAGTGAGAACTTGAAGAACTGCAGTAAAAATAGACTGAGTTAATTTCATGTATTTACCAGCAACATGTGTTTCCATTATATCAATTGCAGATATCAATACTTCAAAAACACTGATAAAATGTTAACTCACATTTAAGCACGTTTGCGAATGAAATTGATCCTGCCTTGGTGCACAAGCTCCAGAACTTCAGCAAGGCTCCTGCTTTTAGCAGTAATAATTTAATTTGTCTACACCTGACAAGTTAATTGATGATCATTAAGTAAAGACGATTAATATAACCGTGTGTGTGTGTGTGTGTGTGTGTGTGTGTGTGTGTGTTACTGTTGCTAAAGTAACACACGCTATATAGATAGATAGATAGATAGATAGATAGATAGATAGATAGATAGATAGATAGATAGATAGATAGATAGATAGATAGATTGCTGATTGCTTCAACAAGGACTGAAAGGTGTTAAATCCTTTGTATTTAACACAATTGTTGCGGCACCAAACATACTTTTTTGGGGGGTTAAGTTACTTTAGTTACATTATTTTTTCCTGTTGTTACTTTTTGATCACTACTCTGCTTCTGTTGGCCTTTGAATATAAAACAGAAGGCCCTTTGTTTATAATGGCAAAATTAAGTTGCAGATTCTGGACATACAATTATTGCAATTCAATTGCAATTATTAGCAACTATAATTATTGAGAATAATATATTAATGTTAATATAAACTAACGGGTTATGAAATAAATTCAAATGAAATGAAATAAATTCATGATACAATATTTAGTTTTGTATGTATGCAATCTAAAATAGGACTTTTGATTTCTATGTGAAAATGTTTGAAACTCTTTGAGTTGGCCCGTAAGTACGTAGCGCGTTTTGGGGCTGGCCTGGGTCCTTGAGGAAGTTTCAGTGCAGTAAACAGGAAGCCAAAAAAAACTCCCTATTTCATTTTTCATCAGCTTCCTCCCTTTAATGATGATACAGGACCGCGGTCCGTGGCCTCCAGCCCCTGCCGCTTTCCTCCCACACAGCTCTCCTCACACTTACAGTTCCCCGCGGCGCTCAGGCTGGTAGAAACATACATAATCTCTCCATTCCGGGAGACTTAGGGAAGTTTTGGAATGGACAGGGAGAACTGTGAGCTCCTTTTTCCTTTTTTAAATTTTTCTTTTGCTCTGTGTGTGATCAGTTTGTCGTTTATGTACATAGGGCAGTTCCACTCAAAAGAGCCGCTTTTAACTGTTGTGCATTATGTACATTATGCGTATGGGCTTGCTGCTTGTTTGAAGCTGTCAGACGGGCTGGGTTTGTGTTGGTGATGAAGAGTGGAGTTAGGAACTAATGAAACTGACCTCTTATTGCCAGGCTTTGCAGAAGGCGTGTGTTTGGTGTGTTAGGGAGTGTTGTGGGCTTCCTGTGGGATGCATCTTGTTGCGTTTAACTGCTTTAGGGCTTCAGATGAAGTGAAACAGGTAAATGACCGGGATTTGTCATTCGCTTTGTGTTTTACAAAAAGCGTACTCTCTTCAAGAAATCTTTTGAATATAAGAAGTACTTTCGTTCATTTTGGATACAGATGTCTGCTTCACCGCAGACAAAGGAAGTTCAACGATTAGAGATTGGTCAGTAGCCCCCTTTTTACCTCACCCTCCAATTCTCCTTCTTTGCTGCTGTCTGTCTCCGGGGCCAGAATCTCTTGTCACTGTTTCAGCCCTGCGTTTCATCTGGCATTTAACAATATTCTGTTGATTTCGAAACGTCACAGTTCGCGTGCTCAGAGACCCATACGTCAGGCGTGATGGCCTTTGGACACTGA